CCGCAGGCAGACTGTTTGTCGTCGATTGAATAATGCGCATGCGCGGTTTATTATCTGGAACATTCTAACTACACATGCTTATGCAGCAGGTTCTCGGTTAGAAAGCGTAGCGATCGTACATACAAACAAGCAGAATAATAGTATAGATAATGAAATCTGGTTATTCAGTGTCGAAGAATAACGAATTCTTGTTATTTAGTTAAAATATATCCGGATATTAAGCGTAAGGTAACGCATCGCATTTGTCCAATAGCGAAACATGCGTATCGGTAGTGAAATATAGATATCCGTCAATGAAATGTAATTATTTAGTAACATAGGCATCCAGAAAAGAAATCAGGTTAACTAGTAACTGAGTGCGATTAACAAGTAACGAATTGTGGTAACCTAGATTCTAATCATACAAAACTGGTAAGAACAGTTTCAGTGGAGAGCTATACAACAGTTATGGGCACGAATATGTCACTGAGATGAAAGTAGAACATTTAAGATTTTTAAAGGGATAATGCAGCTAAGTCAAACCCTTTGCGCATCTTTAATAAAAATAACTGACGTCATTTGTTAATTGATAAGCAATCTGATATTCACAAAGCCTTTGTCACTTAATCAGTTAGAAAAGTACCAAATTCCTATTGATAAATAGGCTTTAGGTTTGGGAGACATTTTCACATATGCGTACTAATTGAATCATTTAGCCCCTAATGTGTAGGTCTTTAGTTTATCGTTCCAAAGCGTCTTACTTCGTTCGTAATTGTGACGTTAAAAATGTGGTTTTGACGAGAATTATGATGAAAAATATCACAACAAAAAGGCCAAAACACCGCTAACAGCAGGGGATACCCAACTGACAACTAAAACCGGAATGGTCATAGATATATTTTTTTATGACTTACGTGTCACTTATAATTAAGAATAATTATTATTAATTGTGATTTTTACTGAAGGCTTTAAGCAACTCTTCTAGGAGACGTTATTACATAATTATAAGAAGGTTCTTGATATTGAGAAAAATTTCATGTTCCGTTTGGAAATTGAAGAACAATAAGAAACATAAAAATCATGTTATGGTAAGTTAATTGATAATAACATATGTTTTATCTTGGTTTCAATCATACATGTCGTTGTCATAATGGTTAGATATTTCCTAGCTTTTCGAGGCTTTTAAGACTACAACAATGTTACTGGTTCAGTATATGAAGACGAAGGGTCGTAATAACTATTGCAAATAAATTTAAAAGGCCTATAAAGAATACGTGTAAAAACGAAGTTGACATAGATTTAAATATATTGAAGTATTTGTCTGTTAAAATTTAGAAAAACATATTTTAACAACAAAAAAGAGAAAAAACTCAGAAGAAATTGCATAAAATAAAATCAAAATTTTGGGAGAGAGTCAGAATCATTAATCTAAAAATGTTTTTGAGAAATATGATGATTTTTTAAAATTAAATCGCTCAGATATTCTACGATAAAAATACTTGAAGAAATCTTCTCACCAGTGCGTTTTTGGAAAAGTTTGAAATCAGCACGATGAATTTATTTTATACTGATTTCAGAAAGACTAACAATTAAGCTTCATTGAAATATATATATATGTGTGTGTGTATCTACAAATGAAAATTGAAAAAAATACAATTACAAAAACTTAAATAAAATGTTGAGAGGACTCTCAAAATGTTGATGATATAGTTACAAAAGTGACGATTAAGAAGTTATTAAACATTTATCTGTGAATATTCTAGAGACTACTAAAACCCATAAATAAAAACAATGTAATACTTTAAAGTATAAAAAACTGGAATATGGTGAATGCATTTCAAAATATATCTTTCCAGGTAACAAGACAGTGGTAAAGC